GACGCGGCGCTCGGCTGTGGGGGTTGGGGGGCGGCGCTTTTTTTTGCTGCTTGGGGCAGCAAAAAAGCTAGAGCCGGCCCTGGTGATCATGCAATTAAAGACTGTATCATAATGCATATGCAGAAGGGTGATAAATCAAGGTTGTACAAGTTGCCATTTCCTAACTTCTGAGTGCTTGACTTTACCACACTAATGTGATTTAATGGATTTTTGGTGTGTAATTGCCTAAGTTTTTTAAAAAGCTAGTTGAAAAAAAAAAACAGAAATTCCATCATATGGCATCACACTGACATGGGTCGTCAGCGGGGTTGGAACCTTTCAACCTCCACCACATAGACCTGTGCCATTTCAGCTAATAGATAACTGATACCAACAGTAGGTTGTTATCCTCGGTAGACCAACATTAGAGGGAGATGAGACACTTTGCCAGTGGGGTTCACAGATTTTGCTGACAGCAAGGGAATGGTGAGACTCAGGGATCTTGGGTTCCATTTCAGGCTCTGGAAGGGAATGCTCTAGTGGGCACAGACTCTTCTGCCCATCCCCCACAGGCTTTACCTCTTCTTCCCCATTCTCCCCAACCGGTCCCTCTCACAGTCCTATCTCTATCCCACCACTGGCTACCAGTCCCATTCTCCTCACTAGCCTGTCCCAGTCTCCACTCCTTAGGCATCTGATCCCAATCCCAGCCTCTTGGTCCAGTAAGACCTAGTCACTATCCTCTCCAACTCCCAGCCTCCTTGCCCAGCCATTACCAGTCCTCCCTCTCCTCATGCCTCAGTTCCTTGTCCCCAGTTGTCTTGCTCAGCCAGTCCCAGTTCCCTCCCCTGCTCCCAGTCTCTCTCCTGGGGCTTTTCGTCCAATCTCAATGTTCTCACCTCCCCTGGCTGCTTGTCCCAGTCTCATTGCCCTGTTAGCCCCAGTTCTCCTCCTGCAGCCAAGCTCATTGTCAGATCTCTCTCTCCCCTCCCCACACCTTCTCCTCATCCCACTGGTTTCCAATCCCAATCTCACCCAGCTTTCCATCCAATCTCAGTTTCCTTCCCACCCATTCTCTTCATCTTTCCCCCATTTCTCTCTTTGGCTCCCAGACCTAGTTTTGCCCAGCGAGGCCCAGTTTTTGCCCCCAACACTCTTTGTCCCAATCTATTCCCCCAGACTTCTCATGCAATGCCTTACACTGGGCTCTTGATCCCTCTGTATTTGAATCAGACTACTCCCTCTTCCATGTTGCCTGGGTGCTAGCAGGGTGTCACTGAGAGGACAGGGGAGACAGGCTCCCTGATCTCAGTTCTGGTGTTCAGCTCCACCTCAGCTCAGAGCAGCTGGGAGCAGCCATTATAGGGAATGAACCCCTGTAGTCTTGGTCTGGAGCATGCTCCAGTCACTCTGTGAGGATGGTGCATAGGCTATTGGGTCAGCATCAGGAGCTGTGAGAGGCTCAAGCATGCAGGTGAGGGTCAAATCTTTAGAGATTTCAGCTGTTAAGCTCTGGCAAGGCCCTACCGAGCATGTACAAACCTCAATTATTCAAAAGCTTATAACTAGGCCAAATTTTTGCAATTTTCACAGCAACAGCAAAAGACACAGCCCTGGCACAAAGGGTACCAGTCTGCCACATTTCAAATCCCTGCTCCAAAGCATGGCTGCATCAGAAAGATGTCTTTATTTTTTTTTTGCAATGGACAAATCAGCATATTTTTCCTCGCCTAATTCTCTGAGATGACTGAACTGTTTTGGCGAAAGAAAGAAAGAAAGAAAGAAAGAAAGAAAGAAAGAAAGAAAGAAAATTCACCCTGATACAGCATGGAAAAGTTCTGTCCAAATGGTTTGGCAAAGTTATAAACAACTGAAAACAGGGGTCTTAGAATGGGAACCTTAATAAAAAGTGGTGGTACCAGTTCCCCCTAATATATTGCAATCCCTTTATAAATATCATCCTGAAAAAAAAAAAACAGGCAAAATTTAGACACTTAAAGTTGTTTTTGGGGGGTGTACCCATGTTTCACAAGAAGTTTTACCTTTTGCACAGAAAAAATATGACCAGTGCCACTGGGATTGTTCCAAATGCTATGAGGAGTAAAACAATCGTAGTCGTAAGAACTGCATCATCTGGGTTACCTTAAAGAAAGACAGTTATACATTTTTTGCATAGTAAGATGAGCACACATGGCTATGTCAAATAGCTGCTTAGATGACTAATAGCAATGAATGCCAGCATAATAAGCCTTCTTGTAATCTGAACTACCTTTCAGTCTGATACTTTACTGAGTAAAGGACTGAGGAGCAGATAGAATTTATAAATCCAACAGAAGCATAGATCAACCAGGGCCATGGAGCCCAGGAGTTTTGAGGACTCCATCAGAAGACAAAAGAGGAGGAGAACAGGGATGAGGATACAGAGAATGAGGATGAGTAGGAGAGGACAGGGAGGTGGAAAAAGAGACGACAACAATGAGCTGGTGGCAAAGGAAAATGTGTTTATGATATGCCACACTCATCACTTGGTAGCTGAGCCCTTATTGCTGTTTTAGTCTTAACTCTTTCTGGCATTCATTACCATAGTATTTGAGTGGTTCCCAAGTATTAAAAGGTACATAATAATCTCCCTCACTTCCTTCTGAGCAGGAAGAAATAAAATATTTGAATGGAATTAAGATTGGTTTCTGTCTGTGAAGGTGAGACAGTAAGTGAAACAGACAGGTAATTACCGAGGGAAAATTAAATAAAAGAAATACTCAACATCCTTACCAAACTCAATGGGCTCACTCCATTCCCCCCAATTCTGGCTTACGAGACATGCATCTCCCTTTGCTCTGATTTGCAAGGTGTACTTTTTTTTCACGTTGTAATTCTGAAATGTGTAGCTTGTTCCTCTTACCTAAAAACAAGGCAATTATTAGTATTATTATTAATAATAATAATAACAATAAGTATTATGGTAGTGCCTAAGGGCCAGCCAAGAATGCAGCCCCATTGTGCTAGACACTGTACAAACACAGAATAGTTAGACTAAGTACTTGTCTTCATTGTATATGTAGATGTTAATAACATGAAAGTTTTCATTTGTTGATCCCAGCTTTACAAAGAGTATCTTTGTGCCTGCTTATGGAAACAGAATATGGTTGTGACACAGTGTACCTCAAAATGGCACCCTGAAACCCCCATATTCATCATTCATATGTAGTTGTGATATTTCATACAAAGCATGCCATATAAGATATCATATGAAAGGTCATGATCTGCTGAAACCCCTTGTTCTGTCTAAATATGTATATCATCAGTGTGTATGAAGTTATGAGATTTTGCTGTAGGGTTACTGAAATATGCTGTAAATTTGCTAGTGACATACAAAGGACTCCTGCCCAGGAGGGTGTTCAATGACCATTAATCAGCCAGGGACTTATTATCAAGGGATTTACAGTTCAATGACAGTTGCCCAAGCACCACACAATGGGGACAGCTCAACTCTATGATTCAGTTGCACAAGGCCACACCAGGGGGATTGCTCAACACAGTAACTCAGCAAAGCCCACCAGGACATGTTTGGGCAAGTGTCTTCTAGGCACTTGGACTGAGGATATAAAATAGGGGATAGTGGCAGCATGCCTTTGCCTTTCTCCTCCCCCACCTAAGCTTGGAGCAACAAGAACGCTGAGATGCCCTCCCAATGTCAACAAGAACGCTGAGAAGATGTCCTCCCAATGCTATTCACTGTCTCTGCTAGACATTACTGTGTTTGAGTCCACCCAATAGCTCATATATATCGTAAAGACCTACACTACTTTATGTTACTAGGATTTAGTTCCTTTAAGATATGGTTGTGCTAACTCTTGGATGCCTTTCTGGATTGAGTACACAGGTCAGATTCCTGTTAAAGTGAATAACTTGGCATATATTGGAACCCCAGTCAATAAGATACTGAGGCTCCTAGACAGCTTTTCTTTGTCTAATTTAAACTATCCTAAAGTTTTGGTGTTGGGTTTTATGTTATTTATTTTCTACCAGACATGGGAAAGTATTGCAAAAAACAGAACAAAATTTGTTTCCCATCTTTTGCAAAACGACATCAAAGTATGATAAAGAGACAGAATTTATTTTATTTGTATTAGTGTGTATGTGAAACCAATAGAAAATGGAAAGTTTTGAAAGGTGTATGGAAAGTTAGATAATGTCCTACCTTTGAATGAAGTGCTAGGGCAGTAGTTTTCAATCTGTGGTCTGTGGACTCCTTGGGGTCTGAAGATTACGTCTAAGGGGTCTGTGAAAGGTTGTCATTACCATAGAACAGTAATTTTCAACCTGTGGGTCTGCAAACTATGTCTAAGATTTCCAAGAGGGGTCTCCATTTAAAAATTGTTAAGGGTCAATCCAGATTACATAAATCCTTGATTCTGACCTAACAGTTTAGAATATGATATATTTAAGAAAACTGATACATAAAGATACCTTGTATCTTGTACTGTGACACTGAGCCAGTGAGGGTTAAGCAAAATGAGCAGGCTAAGTGACCCAAAATCAACCTTAAGGACATATTAGACAAGTATTGAAATGGTAAACAGTGCCAGTCCTTCTAGATACACCTCTACCCCGATATAACATGACCCAATATAACATGAATTCGGATATAATACGGTAAAGCAGTGCTCCGGGGGGGGGAGGGAAGGGTGGGACTGCGCACTCCGGTGGATCAAAGCAAGTTCGATATAACGCGGTTTCACCTATAACGCGGTAAGATTTTTTGGCTCCCGAGGACAGCGTTATATTGAGGTAGAGGTGTAGTTATCAAAACCATGTTAAAGTAGACTAAATTCTTTGAAATGTAAACCTATATTGTTAGAGAATTAGAAGAAGATACTGAGTGTATTTGTCTGTGTTTGCCTAGATCTTGTTAGATGTTAAAAATGTGACCAGATTAGCTTGTGGATGCTAAACGTCTGTTCCTGTCTGTTAATATAGTCTATTGATTCAGGGATGAAAAAGGAATATTAACATTTAGATGAAATTTGGGGTGTAATAATACCATTATCTTTATTTCTCTTTGAAATTTGTAGTAAACTACCTATGAACTACTTGAATGGTTAATTAGCTTATGCTAATGAATGCAGCTAGTTACCAATGTGTGCCTAGGAAATAGAGATTTACTTCAAAACAACAATGTATATTACCTCTTCTTCATCCAAGGAATGCCTGCTGTGTCATAGCCTGCTAGCGAACTATAAAAGAACTCTCAGATCTGCTTAAACTTCGTCAGCAGAAGTTCAAGCTACAGGACTGAGATCTCCAGATACCCTGGACTGTCCCTGCAAATTCTTATGGAAGAATTTGAACAAACTCTATACATGGACTGGCTATTGGACTATAATCTATTAAACTGATTCTGGAAAGACTTTTTGCAAATCAACAACTGAAATGGGGGTAGTGCAGGACCAGCTGTTAGAACCATGCAGGTACTGCCAGGCCATGTTACAGTAGGCACGTGACATCCCCTGCATATGACACCTACGGAGAGAAAGGCATTGGCTCGGATATTAGCCCAATTCTACTGGCCAGACATACACTATGAAGTGAGAGAATGTTGTTCCCTGTGAAATATTAACAGACCAAGGGACTAATTTCATTTCCCAACTGATGCAGGAATTATGCTCCCTTCTGAAGGTCAAGTGCCTTAAAATCTCCAGGTACCCTGGACTGGTCCCTGCAAATTCTTATGGAAGAATTTGAACAAACTCTATACATGGACTGGCTATTGGACTATAACCTATTAAACTGATTCTGGAAGGACTTTTTGCAAATCAACAGCTCACCATTTCTGCTATGAAACTGACCTAAAACTTTATTCATATTTATATGTATAATGATCTTTTAACCAAAGTAACTTTTTCTTTTCTTTTTAAATAAATCTTAAATTAGCTAATAAGAATTGGCTGTAAGCGTGTACTTGTGTAAAATCTGAAATATTCATTGACCTGGTGGTTAATGTGTCCAATCTCTTGGGACTGATAGAACTTCATATATGGTGAATAAAATTTTAAGTAATCCTCACCATATTTGACAGACTTGGCTGTCTGGGTGGGAGCCAAAGGCTGGATTGCTTAAGGGGACTTCTATTTTAGCTTCTTGGTAACCAGTATGGTATTACAGAAGCTGCTTGGTCTAATTTGTTAAACCTAATTAGAAGAATAAACCATTGGTTTTGGGGATTCTGCCCCATTCTTTGCAGTTGGCTCCAATTAAGCAATCTCAGTATGACCCCTCCAGTGACCACGGTCACAGCTACTTGAGTGTTATACTGACACCAAAATTATTTAGGCACTAGTAACAATATTTTACACTGCACTAGACTAAATGCTAAGCTGGGACAAGACCATATTTTAGTATGGGAAGAGAATAGTTACCGTAGGACACTCATTGCTGCTTTCCTTGGGATTGGCCTGCAAAACAAAGAAAAACCTTTATTATTTTATTATTTGTTTTGCTACCCTGTAGTAATCCATTTCTTTCTTTCTTCTCCTTTTTGATTATTTACTTGCTAGCTTGGTTCAGAAGAAGGTGCAACTAGAATTTACAATATCTAAGATTCCAATATTATGTAATGAGTTTCCTCCTATCACATACAGATATCCTTGATTGTAATTAATGACTGGCAAACCTGGGGAGTCTGCTCCAATAACTCTCCTGAGTTTGTTTTCTTATTCAAAGTTTGGGCTTCTTGCATTTCAGGTTAAAAAAGAAAGGAAACTTAAATCTTCTTTCTTCCTTCCTTCCTTCGACAAGCAATTGCATGATGCTGGTGCTGAAATAAAGTCTCCCTCACCCTTGCCCTGTTTAACTGTGGCATCACAAAGGAAGAAGAGGCTGAGGCTGAGGCAAAGGCTGGTTCCTTGGGTTCCATATGTGGCTACTCTTGTTTGCCTTTTGTTCTTTCTTCTGTAAGCATGGTCTGAGTGAGTTCTCCCCTGACATGTAGTGATGCACAGAGAAAAGGACTTCAGGAGCAAACAATGTTTGCATAGACATACCTACTTAGTATTGTGCTTAGCGTGCCCTGATGGAGGAAGCCATCCTAAACAGAACCTCACTTGCTAAGCAGAGGGTAGGGATGCCAAATCCCAGTCATGAAAAGAATGAATGAGGCCAGGTGTTCCTACTATGTGCTGTGGACTCTGCTTGAAGAGTTCTGGACATTATTTGATTGTGAATATGAGCAAATGACCCCCATAAATGGAGAAGAGACAGAGTCACAGGGAGGCAATCAATACCCGCACTCAAGAAGGAGTGCTTGTATCTAATCTAATGGGGGTAGTGCAGGACCAGCTGTTAGAACCATGCAGGTACTGCCAGGCCATGTTGCAGTAGGCACGTGACATCTCCTGCATATGACACCTACGGAGAGAAAGGACATTGGCTCGGATATTAGCCCAATTCTACTGGCCAAACATACACTATGAAGTGAGAGAATGTTGTTCCCTGTGAAATATTAACAGACCAAGGGACTAATTTCATTTCCCAACTGATGCAGGAATTATGCTCCCTTCTGAAGGTCAAGTGCCTTAAAATCTCCAGGTACCCTGGACTGGTCCCTGCAAATTCTAATGGAAGAATTTGAACAAACTCTATACATGGACTGGCTATTGGACTATAACCTATTAAACTGATTCTGGAAGGACTTTTTGCAAATCAACAGCTCACCATTTCTGCTATGAAACTGACCTAAAACTTTATTCATATTTATATGTATAATGATCTTTTAACCAAAGTAACTTTTTCTTTTCTTTTTAAATAAATCTTAAATTAGCTAATAAGAATTGGCTGTAAGCGTGTTCTTGGATAAAATCTGAAATATTCATTGACCTAGTGGTTAATGTGTCCAATCTCTTGGGACTGATAGAACTTCATATATGGTGAATAAAATTTTAAGTAATCCTCACCATATTTGACAGACTTCAAATTCTGGCCAGACATACACTATGAAGTGAGAGAATGTTGTTCCTCCTGTCTATAGTGTCAACTATCTAGCAGTAGAGGGATCACCAAGGCACCCATGGTCCCTCTGCCCTTG